CCAGTGTGGAGGATTTAGTGGCAGGCATCTAGTGGTGAAGATTACACCCTGGACCTTTAAAGGATCATCAAATCATTTTCAATTCAATTTTCACCTAAAGCTTTCTAATAGTCGTTGAAATTTTAGTCTGGACCAAAGCGGTGGAACAAGTTTGCCCTTCATATGGCTAAAAATTACATTTTCTGATTCCAGCTTCTCAAATGTGAGAATTCAAAGTTTTTTCTCTTTTATAGCTCTTGGTTTTTAGAATGTAAAATATTCCCAAACCTTCTATCATGTGCAGTTCATAACCGGTTTGTGTTTTTACAGCTGCAGTCCTCAGATCCAAGATGAGGAGAGGTTTGGAGCATAACTGAGGAATAGGGGGTGGGGAGTTGAAGGATGAAGGATGGGGTCTGTTGATGGGGGTGGTGGCAGGTTGTAGGGTGGGGGTGTTTGCATTAGGTGCCAAGAGGAGGATCTTTTATACTAGCACAAGCTGGGAATGAAGCGCAGTGTGAGTTGGAGTTGATGGGATTAAAATGAAGGGGGTCTCCCTGTGGCCTGAAGCCAACTTCATGTTACTAAACCTGGACCAGTTCATTTACACATACAGAGAGAGAAAGCCAGACTGAAAAGCGTGTTACCCCTCCCTGCTTTATATTCATTAGCCAGCAGTCTGTGTCTGAGGTATCATCTCCCTTGGCAACCCAGGCTCCGCCCCCCATCTCTTTGTCGCACAACATATGAAAGCCATCTGCGTGTAGGCCCTAAATCTCCATCCCTACACAGTCCCTGACGAGTCTATATGCTGGAAGTGATGGTCTGGGGAACAAAGAAGACACTGGTCAACAAAATGCTTGATTTGAACAGTTAATTCAGGAGTAGCTGCTCTGATAATAATGGATTGTACTGCTAATAATATTAAAGCAGCAATGTCATATAGATACACTTCTTTTAATTATTGTCTTATTAATCATCAGCTGCTAAAACTCAGTCAACATGACAGCGTCACATCAAAGGAGTTCATTTATGACGGCCGCAGTTTAGGCTGGTGGCTGTTAATTCAGATGTCAAGTCCACTAGGACTACATCAAAGATTAGACAAAACACTGGAGTGCTAAAAGATTTGTTTTAATAGAGTGCTCACTATTCTTAATTGGCTCTGGTTTCTCTCTGGAGTGGATCAGAGTTGGGGGCAAATGTTGATGAGTTTATATTCTTAGAGTTGCTTCTAAAGTGCAAAGCAGTATTGTTGTCATATATTACAGTGCATAAATGACTGGTCCAGCAACAGAACATTAACCAGCAGGTTTGATAACCGATTCATCATTTAAGTCATTTACCAATTCCACTATCTGGATCTAGCTTCTCCAATATAATGTTTGGTGATTTTCTTCTGTTTACATCATTGTAAATTTAATATATTTGGGTTTTGGATTGTCGGTGGGACAAAACAAACATTGTACACTGTAATCTGGTCAGATTACTTCACAATGTAGTCAGTTACTGATTACAAATTTTATGGAAAATTAGGGCCCAAGCAGCAACCTCTGCGATGGCTATTTCATAATAAGAAAATAATTATGAATTATAAAATGAAAGTAATTGTTAGTTGCACATTTCTTCCACATTACTGTAGATTTTGGCACTACATTCAGTAGCGTAGTCATCAGTGTGACGATATGATGATGGTGTCAGTTTAGATTAGTGTAACTACTGGAGATAGGTAAGTTGTCGGTGCTGTGCAAACTACTTTCTTGGTGAAGCAACTATTTGCCAAATATTACTTAAAACACCTTGTGTGTCCGCTTATTATGAAATACAGGTTCTGATTAGGTCCACAGCTTGAATACTACTAATAGTCACTAGTCAAGGCTAACAGCTGAACAAATGTATCATAAACCTACACAAGAATATGATTTATTACAATGTGAGAATGAAGACATGCAGCTATGTTGTAGGCTGCATATACAGGAGAGCATTAACACCTGTAAAACATAACACAGCTTTTATGAATCTTGTATTAACTTGTACTTTAAGTCACCTAAAGGCAGCTTGATGCAAATGTAAAACAAACCAAAAGGATACCAACCAAGCGCTGTAAATGTAGCGTCGGCATCACTGGTGGAGTCTGGCAGTGAGCAACTTCAATATCCTTCAATCAAGGAACTATAACATTTAATGATGACATATTTCTGGGAAACCAGAACCTCATAAGCCATTGATTTTCTCAAACAATTTATCAATTTATGAACTGCAAATGTGGACATAACCCGCTGAAACCATCACCGGAGTAGATATGAGCTGTTTCTCTTTCCCAGTTTGTATTTCAGTCTGCTTAAAATGTTGTTCAGTTTCATCTCTTAGTGTTTTGTGCCTGGCGGGTGAGGACGGACAAATCACTAACAATGTTCTTTCCCAGTATAAATGAGATTGATTGTGTCTATTTTTGTTGCAATTACACATTTTACATACTTTAAAATTGGTAGTGAAATTGGTTTTGCCGTTTCTATCCCAGCACACACAGATACATTGTGATTTGTGTTTTAATAATAAAAAAAAGACAGCGTAGAAAAACATTTGACAACATAATCGACCTCAACATTGTAGAATTACATGAACACGTTAGAATTTGAAAAAATGTTGATCAGTGCTCATTCTGCAAAACATACAAAAGGCAAGAATTAAACTGTAAGTTAAATTTGGCTTACCATCACTGAAAACATTACAGTATTATTTTACTTCTAGCTAAGTATTAATCATCCGATCAATCAGCTGACATGTTGAGTGCAGATACAGGACAGACAGGACTCTCTTCTCTGTTGTTTCTTAGTGTTTTCAACATTAACAAATTCTTTAGCGCCTCCTTTTTTGACATTAACACTTATACAATGTTATAATAAATGATTAAGTAATATGTTATACTCAAGCTAACAAAGTCAGTGAACAAAGGCAATGTAAACTGGCACAGTATTCACATAATTAGTGCATTAAAATATTAACGGCTGCTCTTCACAGGGCACTGTGACATTACAACAATATAATAACAATTCATGTTAGACAACAGACACAAACAGGTGATTCAGTTAGTATTTGTCCATTCGGAACCACAGCATTTAGAGTTGAATCAGTGTTATGTTTAGTAGTGATAACAGAAGACCTCCATAGTTTAAGCTTTACACAAGCAAAATTCACGTGATTTGAGTATCACTGTAATATGTCTAACAAATGTAACAGAAAAATATAATTTTGCTGACCAGCTGCCACTAGCTTTGCAGACAGCACAAGGGCTTCTTTAATCTAAAGTAAAGAGTGAAAAATTACATTAAACCAAATGCTAGTAACTATTTGCTTGTAGCTCGTAGGTTGGTCCATTGGCCACTTGAGCAAGTTAGGAGCTATTGTTTAAGGGCTTCTACTTTGCCAGTAAAATAGTTAAAAAAAAAAAAAAAAAAAGCATTTTTTTGTTGAGGTGTCTTTCACTATATACCTATATACCTTACTCAATACCTATTTTCTTCCCTTTTCAAAAATACTTGGCATTTACAGTGCTGTTTGCACAAATGCTTTAGTGATCTTCATTTTAAAGAAAATTCCATCCTTCATATAGTTCCTCCTCGTTCTCATCTTCTATAATCAGCAATCTACAGACCTGGACTGACTGGCTGAAGACTATCACTCTAGGGACTGTAAATAGCTCTCATTGTAGTAACTTCCATCTTTCATACTATATTAGTTTTTATCAGTAGTGAACTTCATGGGGGTACATGGACCAGAAGCCTTCAGTGTTCTGACGATGTCGACTCCTCTTCACTTACTGTCCCTGAGTCAGCACGGGAATGTCGATCTCTATGGCAGACATCCGTGAGCGGGAGGAGTAGCGGTGGCCTGCGTAGCTGGACGCGTAGGCCTGGGAGGGAGCGTAGCTCTGCGAGGGAGCGTAACTCTGCGAGGGAGCGTAGCTGTAGGCCTGAGTTCCTCCCACCTCTGAACCATACCCCTCTGGAGCAGAAATCTGAGACATGTAGACCTGGGGCGGTGCAGGGGCGACCACGCTTTGCGCGTAGCCCTGGGCAGGCATATACGGCTGGGCGTCAATCACGGTGGGAGGATAGGTCTGCTGTAGGAAGGGCTGAGGACCATAAACTGGGGAAGGAGGATATCCGTTGGCAGTTAGAGGCTGTGTGGACAACGAAGTAGGCATGGAGGGCAGGGGCAACCAGAAGGGCGAAGGCAACTTTTTACACATACAGTACCACATGAACATCAGCAGGGAAGCCAGCATTAGTCCTCCAGAGCAGCCAATAGATACATACACAGCAAAGCCATCAGAGAAAATGTTGTCATATCTCATGTTCAATTCCTTAGTGCGGAACAGGAACCACACTGACGGTGCGATGGCGATAGCGCCGCCGAGGAACAGGAACATCCCAGCCACCAGGTGACAGCCTGCACTGTTGACCAGGAATCTGATGGTCTTAATGTCCGGTTCTGGCTTGTCTGAGCAGCAGCAGGTCTTGCACATGCCCGACATGCACAGCAGCAAGGCCAGAGAGCCGAGCAGCAGGCCTGTAGGCAGACAGAACTGCAGGAGCCGCAGATCCAGCTGGTCAACTTTAGAGTACCACTGGAAATATGAGAGGACATCATTTCTGTTAGGACAGTTTGGGATAGAAAAGAAAAGAAGCAAAAACAGAGGAGAGGAAATTTATCAAAGAAATACCTCTGAATCATAGTAGTAACATCCTGAATAGCCATCCTGTTTTACACATTTAGCCCACAGCCCATCATACACGCTGATATTCTTGGCATTACGATTGAAGGTGACGAGTCTGGTCACACGCCACTGCGGGATTACCGCTGCCACCGCAATCCCTCCCACAGACACAATGGCAATGATCAAGGCAAAAGCGTTGGTGGCATGGATGTCCCGGCACGACATGGTGGGTGCAGACAGGAACTGAGGCCACGGGGAGAGTTCCTGTTGTAACACATGAAGAGAGGAAATCAGATAGAGAGAAGTGGCTGGTCAGTGCAGTGGACAGCGACGGGGCCATAATGTGACTATCATAAATCATTTTTCAGTTCACACTCCTGATGGTAGGAAAAAGGCACGGTTATACAAGTTTCTCCGAATGGCCCCATTACTACTGAAGTAAGCTAACTGTGCCACAGACTGACCTAGCTATGGGCAACCCCCCTGTATTCCTACTCACCACAGCGTAGTTGACCCAATATCTGCTGTCCCCGAGAAACAATGCTCTCATTTCATTAGCAAACAAAGTGGGAATGACTCGGGGCTGAGCTTGCAGGGTAAGCGTGTCTTAACTGCAGTGCATTACACAGACTGTACAGCTGAACAATAAGCTATTGAATTAGATGCTTTGGGCTTCTGTGACAGCGTCCAGCAGAGACTGACCGCGGCTGTGTGGGAACTTTATCTTGAGAAACTCATCCGCTTTCATGTCGTCATGCATAGATGCATCTGCATTTTGTTGTATTCAGAAACAGACAGAAACTATCTCGCGTCTTCCCATGAATAAAGTGAAGCATCAGTTGTTCAGGCTGTTTTATAATATACCGTAGTTCAACGCTAAAGGTGAGCTGGTTTATAGAGTTTTATAAGTACAACTGATTTGTTTATTTAAGTCCAAACTCACATTTATTTTATTGTTAAGAAGTTTTTTTTTTGTGTTACCTGATTATTTAAGTGTAGTCCCAGAATGTTTTCATATTGATTTACACATGTAAAAACCTTTCCCATAAATCACCAGATACTATACTTAAAAACAACTTCGTGATTAACGTTACACCATAACATTAACCGAGTAATAACAATAATAAATAATAATATTTATGAAGCTACCAGTTCAACAGCTTGACAGCTAGCCTTAGCTTTGTTAGCCTGGAGCTAACTTAGCTAGAACTTTTTTTAGCCGGTTGTCCTGACTGTAAAACACATGTAACCTAATCAATAGTTGCATCTATCAACAGTTTTGTTCGCTAAAACGTGAAAAGGGACCGGGGTTGGGAGTGTGGGCTGACCAACCAGCATTTAACGCCAACGTGAATCGGTTACATTAGTCAAAGCTAACGTTAGCTGATGCTAGAAGTATTCCTCAATATGAACTCAGCCACGAAAACTACAATAAAAATACACGACAATACCTTATTTCTACAGCAGTTCAGTCGTGTTTAGATCGAAGACGGTGGCATTTCAGCCTGGTGCTCCTTTACACTCTTGGGCCCGAACCAAACCGAACCAAAGCGTTATCACTGAAGTACAATAACAGGAGCGTAAACAGGAAGTGGAGGGTGTTTCCGCCCTCTGCGTTGTCTCACAGGTGGTTAAAGTCATAGACATAATATACATGTATATATGTATATGGTTAAAGTCGTTAAAATGTTGAACTTAAAAAAATATTGTCCAGAAATAGATTAAAAACATATTAAAATAGTTTGCATTTACAAAACATGTAACTTAGTCTGTCTTTGACTGTACTACTGAATCAGGTAGTCACAGGTAAATAATATTCTGTCCAAACCATCTTTGTTGTTTGTTTTCATAGCATCTGTTTGATATTATGTGTTTTTGTCCAATTATCTGTGAAACAATTCTCTCAGGTGCTCCTTTTATCTCCTTTGCTTTGAGTTTGAGCAGTTTGACAGATGTAAGTGCAGATTTGAAAGGGCTTTGACTCCCCAATCAACATAAAGGGCCTCAATACAGATCAAAAAAGGACATACACCTCACGTGAACTTGACTCTTGGCTGTGATCTGTGACTGAATTCCTCTTTTGGTGTCTTTCAGGGAGATGTCCGCATTCACATGATCTACAAATCTGCAGGGCAAGAGGGACTTAGTGATTTCCTCAATGGTAAGATGATGACTGAAGACATGAGGAGGAAATTAATGTATTGTTAAATATCTAAGATATTTTGTAACACATAGTGTAATAATAATAAATTAATTAAAATAAATTGTCATGTATATGTATGTATTTCATGCATGTTTGACTGTTATGGATAGCTACCATACATGAACACTGACAACAATTACTGTTTCTGTTTCCTAGGTGATCTTCCAGAGCCACCTTTTCCCAGCCCTCCATTCCCCGGGTCAAAAATTGTTCACAGGAGAAAAAAGAGACAGGTATGACTCATCTGCAGGCATATTTGTGGGGAAATCATCATTATTAGCCAATGGATGCTGAAGTTGACTTCTTTGTATGTATGTTTGTTTGTGCAAGACAGAGATATAATTATACTCTGGATGCCGTTTGTTCAAACCTGATTACGCTGTTTCCTGCCTGTATGTTCTATGTTAATTCACTGAGCTGAAGAGAGAGAGCACTGTTTCCTCACTTTCCTCCCACACAACAGCTCTGCACCTCTCAGTCTTCTTCTTTTTCATGAAATATTTACCTTGAGTGTAGATGCTGTTTCCAGCCTCATCTTTTCTCAGACACAGTCAGATGTCTGCAGCTGATGTCTCTCAGCCCTCAGAGCTGCTCTCATCTTTATTTGGAAAACAGACAAACCTGGTTTAGCTTTGCAAAGTTCATCTTTATTGATTTGTCATTTCTTTTCTTATCCTTTCTTGGTGCTGCATGAGACATGAGTTGATCTTCGTGTTTGCTGTGTGTGCTGTTCTGAAATTGTCCTTGATGTTGAGGAAAACAGAGAAAAGGGTGTCTGTCTATCCCTTTAATGATAAAACTATGTTGTTTCTTCTCAGGCTCCACATGTGTCACACAGTGTAGAAGATGAGACGAAGTACATTGAGTTGATGGTGATCAATGACCATTTAATGGTAAGCTTTTAACTGGGTACATATGGTATTGATGTACATGTTAGACTCTATAGTGTAACATGATAAAATAGTAACCCTCTTATATATTTATTACTCTGAAGCCAAAATTGTGTTTATGTTACCTGTGCCTGCACTTTAAAAAGAAAGACTGTTGATTTATCCGTCCTGACAGTGATGTACGGCTAAAGCTGTACATTTGCTCAAAAAGGATTTCATCTTGTTAACATTCACCTTATTTTATGATTTTATATATATACAGTTTGTGCGTCATTGCCTCTGTGTACAGTGACTTTAGGAATACATTATGTTAAAGAATCCTGATTTCTTTTGGTTGTCTGTTTAGGATATATTTATAGAAAATGCACAATAGCACATTTCTGTACATTATGAATCGTCGTGTGGCCATCCTGTTTGTTGTTGCTGTCTGGCATCTTGTTAGCCATTATGGGCTGGGCGCCATTTGGCTCAGGACACTCACAGATCCATAAATTATATTACACATATCTACATTTGAAGTAAAATGCTGGTGCAATTCAGTATTTTTCAGATCTCCTGAAAAGACCGAAATAAAAAAAAAATCAATATTCAATACTTTCCAAATGTCTTTAACCTGTGTGGCGCTACTGAAGATGTAAATGTTTAAAAACAGGTACAAATATGAAGTTTTTCCTATGACACAGAGGAGTTGCCAATATCAAACTTAGGTGATAACGGATGAAGATCAACTTATGTTTGTTTTAGGTCTTGTCATGGGATTTGTTGACAGTAAAAACAATATATAATATCACCAGCCTTATCCTTTAAATAGCTGGGAGTACAGGATGCAGAGAGAGTCAGCACTATAAATGAAGTACTGTAAGTGCTTGCACTCTTGAGGCACACCAAATACTCCCTTTATTGTGCGTAAAACAGACAATTTTTATCCAAATAGGCCTGACTAAAAATCTACTGGGACACAAATTGTGGCACCGGCTCCTTTTATACATTTAAATGGTTTAAAATGAATTTGTTCCAGATTGTAAAATCCCACTTCTGTTTGTCTCCTCTCCATCCCTTTCTGTATCTCTCTCTCTGTCTCTCTCTTCAGTACAAGAAGCATCGGCTTTCCGTTGGGCACACGAATAACTATGCTAAGTCAGTGGTCAATATGGCTGACATGGTAAGAATTGTATTGATCCTCTTCTTGGAAAGCTTGCCACAAGCACTCCCAGGTATTGGAGCTGAGCGCACATTGTACTGATTTCTCATTTAACCAACCTCAGTCTCTACATTTAAAACCTCTCCTGGCCCATAATATGCAGCGAGCAGCCATTAACCAGCCAGTCATGAGTTTTCAGGTTTCAGAGGACTCAAACAGCAGTGGTATCCTAACAGCACTGAGGCAGATATTTGAATGTTTCGGTATTTGTAGCAACATCTGTGTGCTGTGCTACTGAAATCTGACCTGCTGCAGGGTCATGTCTGTAAGCTGATAGGATGGTGAAGATGGAGAAAGGTCATGCTTTCTGTTGTGCCCTTGAAGGGGATCATATGAAGCAGACTCTGTTTGGGAAGTATACATTGATTTCCATGTGCGAGTATAGTTACTTTTTTCCCCAGTGTATGCCATGCTGCCACGGTCAGATATGTTAAATATCACAGCAATTGCTAATAAGCTATAGGACCTATAAATATACAGACAAAGTTAATAAGAGTAACATTTTGTAGATTATGGTCAGTAAAACATGTTCTTGTTTGTATTCACAAATATGGTCCCTTTTCCAAACCAAAGAGCAGACAGGCACTTTTTAGGAATGGCTGCTGCAACCTCCATGCCACCCCTTTAGATCCCTGAATGCAGCGAGGCACCGACCAGGGTTAGGACCACTCTTAATGTGCCGGACCGAGGTGGAGCAGATAGGGTGAGGTTGTAGAGGCTGGACTGGGATAGAACCATCCACATACCACTGACCACTTCCTCTCTGCTCTGCCAGCTTTGTCTCGGGACTATTGACATTCAGCTTAAACAAAGAAGCTTTGCTCTTGTCCTCTTTTCCTCTTCTCTTGTATTTATCTGGCTCGGTACCCTAAATGGATTTCTATCTTATGAAAGCAAACAATAATGTTTGCCATACAGTTTGCTTCCTCTACGTCCTTCAGACTGTTGCCCTTGTTGACTCCGTCTAGCCACCTGTAATGTGCTGCTGTCTGGTGGCAGGATCATATTGATCACACTGACTGTTTGACTGGTGCTCTCACAACCAACAGCTGGAGATGTTGATGAATATGAAGCTTGCCAGTTTAAATATCGATCAGGATGTGTCATTTGTTATCTTTGCCACTTTCAGTTACACAAGCTTTATGACTTTCAACAGATAACATACTGAGGTTAGATATCATTTAATTCCCCAGATCTTCAAGGAACAGCTTAATACCCGCATTGTGCTAGTTGCCATGGAAACGTGGTCAGCTGACAACAAGTTCAACATCGACGACGACCCCATGGTGACGCTGAGGGAGTTCATGAAGTATCGGAAAGACTTCATCAAGGAGAAATGTGACTCTGTTCACCTCTTCTCGTAAGTCTGAACGTTTAAAAAGATTTTCTTGTGTGTTCTGTGCTCCAGTGTCTTTTTTTTAAATTAAACACATAACTTTCTTTTCCTATCAGAGGGAATCGTTTTCACAGCAGCTGGGGAGGAGCTTCCTATATGGGAGGAGTTTGCTCCCTGACTAAAGGAGGGGGAGTCAATGAGGTGAGTCTTGAATCACAAAGGAATAATTAGTAATTTCCCAAAACTATCGTACAACTATCTATCTATACTACTAATCTATACTGTCTGTCTGTCTGTCTGTCTGTCTGTCTGTCTCTTCTTCAGTATGGGAAAACCGATGAAATGTCCATAACCCTTGCTCAGTCTCTTGGACAGAACATTGGCATCTTCTCTGACAAGAAGCGGATCCTCAATGGTACACAGTTAAACCTTAATTAGTCCTTTATTTTGTGCTTTTCTAGCACACAGTCATTAATAAAGCCTCCTTTCTATGCAATGGGTTTTTTTCTTCTTCTCCAGGCGAGTGCAAGTGTGATGATCGTTGGTCGGGTTGCATTATGGATGATGTTGGGTAAGTTACTTTTACAGTATGTTTCCTCATCAAATCATAACCTTAAAATCACAACTGAGACAGACAACATTTCCCTGAAACACTGTCCATGTGAAAAGATGTCATCAGAACGTTGGATACAATGCTGTACTTTAATGCTAACATCACAATCTCTTTCAAACCTATGGGTATTGTTACCAAGAGTTTAATGAGATTGGACATATAAGTAGTTAAAAGTTTACAGTCTCAACCTGTAATCTTAAAACTCACATTGACTATTTGTGTTTATACTTTGAACTAGAATGTATTTCCTATGTATCTCAAAGCAGTTAAGGGTTAATTACATTTTATAAATAACCTAAATGTATATGCAGGTTTATTTTATTTACAATATTACACGTAAATGTTACCATTTAATGTATTGTACCAGAGTTAGCTTAAAGCTAATTTTCATCTTTCGTCCCTTGGCAGGTCACAAATACAACATATGCAAACAGGACACAGAATACAGAGTTACACACAGTAGTGCATCACCCATTAGCAACAAGTGTAACTTTTTATAGACAAATTATATAGTTGTCTAAAATGTCATCAAAATATTAATCTATTTATCAGTGTAAACATGCTGCTGACAATATTTCCATCCACTGCAGTGTTATTGTAGTTTGATAATTCACCACTAGATGTCAGCCTGTGTTTGTCTTCCATAGGGCTCGTTTATATAACTTGATTGGGATTCTTTCAGCAGTAATGTGTTATATAATCTGCTGCTTGCTAAGATTAGAAACTAGGTGATGAATCAGTCTGTGTGTGTTTTTGTGTTTTCAGTTTCATGCAGAAATCATGACAGTGTCTGTCTTAAAATGTCTTTGTGTACATCTGCAGTGTTTATACTTTAAAAGCTTGGCATTGTGCCACTATGAGCACACGGATGTGACTGTGTGTTGTGTCTGCGATGTGTGTATGTGTGTGAATATACCCCTCTTCTTAAATACTTCTCGCGTTCCCCCTCTATCCCGAATGGGACAGCAGGTGAGCAGAAGCTTGGCTAGAACGTTGCCTGTGCTGTTTTGAACCAACTGGCTGCCTTGGAGGGGTTGTCAGTCATCACAACCTTTCCCATATCATCCAACAGCACTACAGGCGCTGTGGCCCCAGCTTCACTTTGTTATTCAAATGATATGAACAAATACGGTTTGGTGTCGCTTTATTATACACTGGCTGTATTTTTCATAATCACTTTGTACAATTTTATGTGTATTCTTTAGTTTTTGGCTGATGTCACCGACTGATCAACCAACAAATGTAATTAATTTGACTAGTCTAATTATTGATAGGCTCCTTCTCCCTCCTGCCTTTTGTCAGGCCTTTTCATCAGTTCTTTTTGTTCATGTCTAACCGATTGATACAGTCTGCAATGTCATTCTCACCTTAGGACAATATTTGTCAACCTCATTTCCCTGTAACAACAGTACACTCCCTCTCTAACACTCCCTGTCCAGATTCTGCTCTATTGGGTTTCAATAGTAAACCTGCTTTAATGTCGTGTGGTCACATGACAGAGGATAGGTGACTTTGTGCTGTTATGAGCCTGTCACCCATGAATGGACCTGGCCCAGATCTGTATTCTCTAAAATAAAGTCAATGGTATTTCAGACGCTTGTATTCAATGAGCCAACCTCAGTCATGTCCACTGGTGGACGTTTCTTTTTATCCCTCAACACCTGCATGTTTGATTAACCTAACTACTACTACTACTAACAATTTTACATTGTTCACAAGGTTTAGCTACTCTGTGTGTGTGTGTGTGTGTGTGTATTTTTCTGTTAATGTGTTTATTCATATGCAGTGTGTGTGGCAGCACTTACTATCGGCATAACAGTCCTTAGAAAAAAGAAAATATTGAACTTGCGTTTTGGTCGAGTTAGGATATAGGAGTGTTTATATATGCGTTTTACAGTTTATTATATTTTTATTTCCTTCTTGTGAAATAATGGATTTTTGCCACAAAGAAACAAGAACAACCCTGAATTATAATATTTAAAAAAAAAAAAATTCTGATCTAATAAATTAAAAAAGTCTAAAATATACTGTAACAAGGGCATACAGACAAGTCAAAGACAGCAGTAATGCAGAGACAAGTGAACGTTTCAGACGCTGCTATGCATCCTAATCACCACTAGGTGATGATAGTCTGACTATGAATGAATGAATAAATGAATGAATGAATGAATGAATGAATGAATGACGGAAGAAAGAAAGAAATAATTGAAGGTGTTAGTAAAGCTTTTTATGGATACATGAGACACAATCTACACAAAAATAGTATTATAATGTAACATAGTATAATAGTATGAATAGTATTTGTGTTTTAATCTTTTGGAATACATATTTTGCGGCTGAACAATGATAATATTAATCCACATGGTAACGATTGTACCTCTTCTGGTGACCAGTGAATCATTCAAGCACGCTTCATCTCTGTTTCACCCCCTTATTACTGTTTAAAAGGGCGATACACACTACAAGATTTTGACAAGATTAAACACTGGCAGAAATTTAGCAATCAAAGATTGAAGGTCCTCCGTGGTAGTCTGGACTTGAAACCTGATTAGTTTAGAAAATCTACCTGAAATATTGTAGTGTACTTCATCCATCATCCAAGCGTCATTACTGGCTCCTTATACAACCATTATCCCTGTAGGTGGCTTCATTTAGTCACATTTCATATCAAATAATGACGACCTCTCACAGCCCCTGGCTCTCACTGCGTCTGTCTGTTATTGCATTGTCTCCTGTGCCAGCCCTGATGAGCCACACTACCAGAGGCACTCTAATTAAACATATGCAAGCAGCATAATCAGCATTAAGCCTGAACATAATAACATTTAAAATGCTGCTCAGGTTTTGGTCGATGTCGTTAAAAGCATCAGAATGAACACAGGACCTTTGATTTTAATCGATTTGTTCAAATACTTCAGATGTTGATTGGGCTCCAGCTGAATGTATCATCAAGCTGTGTTTTATATTTTTACTTTAAGTTAATTGAAGCGCCATGGAGCATTTAAGAATTGATCGTGTCGTCCGGGCAGCTTGATTTCTATTCTTTGAACATCTTGTGAAATTTTTGTTAATATTCATGTGACCGTAGTGACACAGTATCTACATGATAATGCAATAACTGTTCAAAAGTGAATCATCCACAGTATTCAAGTTCATTTCCAAGACAAATTCATAAATGCATCTTACTGTAGAATTCATTTACATCCTACACAAATCCCCCTGTGATCCTCGCAATATTAGCTCTACTGTTTACCTACCTCCATGTTATAGTAAGGATCTCCTCTGAACTGTGAGTATGGTAAACCTGTGGTAAAACCAGAATTATTCATGATATATAAGAAACATAAACCTGCTATGGCTTTGTCTGTAGCACAGAAATCAAATGTGTGAGGTATGCAAAGTAAATTTTGAAAACATATTTCTTTTTCCACATCAGTTCTTGGTTTTGTCCTGTAATGTGTTTTTTGGGAGCAAGCCCTCCTCTCTTCCAGTATTATCTGAGCATGTTCTGTGTGTATTGTATTCACGGTAACGGGATAAAATGCTGCGGTTGTGTTGAACAGTTTCTACCTGCCCAAGAGATTCTCCGACTGCAACGTGGAGGAGTACCATAACTTTCTAAACAGCGGTGGAGGGGCCTGTCTGTTCAACAAACCTCTGAAGGTTCGTCACACTACACACATGTACACACTGTATATATACATGTCTCTCCTTAGTAGTTTTAATGTTAATTTTGCCCCCCTCAGCTGTTGGACCCTCCAGTGTGTGGAAATGGCTTTGTGGAGCCTGGGGAAGAGTGTGACTGTGGCAGCCCAGCGGTAAGTTTCAGCACTGTAGATGAGACTGGATGGATGCTAACATGGAGATGCACTATCCTAAAGGGGTAACTTGATAATCATCCAGGGTCAAATTGATGAGCTAATTACCCTACAACAAAACTGTCTGCTGTGTCAGACGTTGTCTAATAAGAGGTAATTTAAAGTCATGAAATCAAGGCCTTGCATACACAGTGTTACCAGTTATTGCATTATCATAGAGTTTGTCCAGAGAGACCTCTGTTTAAATAGATTATACTCTCTGATGAGTTACATAACAGACAGAAACAACTTGCATCAAATCAAAGGACAACTGTTTCTGTTTCTGTTTTTTCTTTTAGGAGTGTGCCAAGGAGGGGGAGGCCTGCTGTGACAAGTGCACCCTCACCCAAGGCTCCAAGTGTAGCAACGGTCTCTGCTGCAACAGCTGCCAGGTACCTTTCATCCTCTGCTGGAGTGTTGTCTCGGGTAAAACAGAAGTACATGCTTCTCATGGCACCAGGCTGAAGGAGGTCCTTTGGAGTCTACCTTTTTTGGTCTTAAAGTGACCAGTTCCACTTGGATTGACTTTGATTTTATACTAGTTTTAGCTACTTTTTTTACTAAGCATACTTAAACAAAAATGACCTCTTAACAATCCTTAACAGCCTTTTAACACTCAATACAAAAAATGTTGAGTTGTGGATGGGTGCACAGATGTGTCATAGATGGAGTCTGTTTGATCTCTATTTTATTCTGCTACAGATGGAGTTTATGGGAGTTGTGTGCAGAGATGCTGTGAATGACTGTGACATCCCGGAAAACTGCACAGGAATCTCCAGCCAGGTGAGCATGAGCTTCCCACGCTGGAGAAAACGTAAACTTAATATTGGCTCATACACAGTACAGGGTTCCCACTCTTTTTAAGAAATAATTTCCCAGGAGTTGACAGTAGAGGACAGTGGCTTGCTCACAAACAGTAGTCGGCCATAGATGGTCGATGTTTAGGGGACACACATTTGCCTGTTCTCAACATAGTCGTTTTTTTCACTTTCTGAATTAATTTTTCCTCTAACCGTAACATTAATTTAACACAGGCTAAAATACAATTAGAAATTTCCAGGACAATGTAGATTATTTCCAGGATGTTTGGTCAATTTTTAAATCAATTTCCAGGTTTCCATGACTGGAAACTAGTCTCCAAATTTCCAGATTTTCCAGCAACCCTCACAGTTTCTCTGAGGTGTTCTGTCTTTTTTGCAGTGTCCACCAAATGTCCACAAGATGGATGGCTATACTTGTGAAAAAGACCAGGTGAGATGTTTGACAAATGGTTATTACTTTCTTTTAAGAAAGACAAGACTTTACCTCTGGACAGGTGACATTCTTTGACACTCTATTTCTCTCCACAGGGTCGCTGTTTTAATGGAAGGTGCAAAACCAAAGACAGACAGTGCAAATACATTTGGGGAGAGAGTAAGTGTAATATTCATATTTGCCAATCAATTTTATAATGACAAATCTAAAATATCTATAAAAACATGTTGAGGATTAAATATCTGTGGTAGAGATGAATTCCCCAACATGTAGGTCTTAATGTTCATTGTGTTTTATTTTGTCTCCATCAGAGGCAACAGCGGCCGACAAGTTCTGTTACGAGAAGTTAAACATCGAAGGGACAGAGAAAGGAAACTGTGGGAAGGACAAGGACACCTGGATCCAGTGTAACAAACAGTGAGCCAGTCCTGTTTTGTCAACCGAAACCCTGTGCCCTGCCATCATCTTATTTAGCTCCCCCTGATCGTTGGTTGCATCTTTGTATTTCAGGGATGTTCATTGTGGGTACCTGCTGTGCTCCAACATCTCACCTTCCCCGCGACTGGGAGAGCTGCAGGGAGGGCTGACCTCGTTCTCAGTGGCCCGACACAGTGCTTCTCTTGACTGCAGGTACACATCATGGAGAAAAAAACGCTTTTTGAAATCCTCAAAACCCAAACCAACAGCCTGTTGGTGACGTATATATTTCACCTCAGGGCTAGTTTT